ACTCACTGGTGAGTAGGATGAAGTTACTCACCTTCTATGTGGTCCAATAACAAAATAGCACATCACATTTAATAATAAAATAATCAACATCTAAAAACACTATATACATTTATTCGATGGTTGATCCGAGAAAACAGAGAAAGGTGTAAATTATTTTATTATTAGATGTGATATGCTATTTTGTTATTGGACCACATATGGGTGAATAGTTTCACCCTACTCACTGGTGAGTAATTAAGCATTGTCCTAAATTTTTTATGTGAATCAGTTTTTATCGGGGTTTTATAGTCGTTAATTAAATCACTATATAAACTATCTTTTGTTAAATAATAAATTCTAATTAAAGAAATAAATTTTTTTTCTTAAGAGGCCAAGTATAGATCTTATACCATATATGCTATATTATTTTATTTTTACCTATACTAAAATTTTTTTTCAAAAAATTAGGAGGGACCATGGCCCCACGCTAGCCCTCCCTTCTCTCCTCCACTACTTACTTCTCAAGGAGAGGTCATGAGTTCAAGTCTCAGAAAAGACAAATATATATGAATACCAACTAGAAAAAAAAAAAAAAAAAAATTAAAAATTTGTCATCGATAACCATGTTTGTTAGTAAATGTTCCAGCATATGATATCAATTCAAACGAATTTTGAAAATTGAACAAATGTACTAAGATCAGCCACGTAATTCTTCCCATAAGAAATCATATATAACATTTGCTGTCTCTGTCCTTCTCTCGCATTCTCTTTCATAACTAGCATGTGGCGTTAGTCATCAATGCCTACGCGACAATCTTACACCATTGAACTTTTTTAGTATGGTGTTTTTTTTTTTTTTTTGGAACTAACTTTTTTAGTGTATATATATATGTATATATATTTTTTTCAAGAAGTATATGTATCGATCCCATAATACCCATATCATTTAAATTAAGGAGGTACTGGAACGTGCAGAAATCGTCGGACCAATTCTGCGGCCATGGCTATCTCTCATCTCAAGTCGTCACTTCGCATCCGCTTCACCCCCGAATCCAACTGGGATGAGTTAGCCATGGCTGCAGAATGCTCAAAGTTTTGAATGATCCGATCGAATAGCTTACCGCCGGCACAATCCGTTGTTTATAATGACGTTGTCGGCGACGGTGTTAATCGGGTGTTTTGCCGTCAATTTCACATTTTATCGATCGCTTGACCAACAGATCCTTTACCTGAAGATGATGACCTTGATTCCCTAAGTTCACGGTTATCATGACGCCGGAGAGAAATTGAAGTCGGTTGAGTGTTCGAAGAGCCGATTTTGAAACTTCATCGAGTTGCAAGAAACGCATAGGAGCCTTCGTCGCCGTCCGGATACGGAATTCCAGCGTAGTTCGTCCGCAATTTGTCGCCTGCGAGCACCGTCTCCACGACGGCTTGGCACAACTGCCATTTTCTGGCAGAGAGGAGACTAACGGCGCCGATTTTGAACTTCATGTAGTTAGCGAGAAACGCATAGGAGCCTCCATCGCCATCTGGATAAGGAATTCCAGCGTAGATCGACCACAATTCGCCGCCTGCGAGCACTGTCTCCACGGCGGCTCGGCACAGTTGCCATTTTCTGGCAGAGAGGAGACCAACAACGTCGATTTTGAAACTTCATGTAGTTAATGAGAAACGCATAGGAGCCTTCATCGCCATCCGGATATGGAATTCTAGCGTAGATCGGCCGCAATTCGACGCCCCTGAGCACCGTCTCCACGGCGGCTCGACTCAGCTGCCATTTTCCGGGAGAGAGGAGACCAACGACGCCGTTCACCAAATTCACTGTGCGACCACATGCTTTGAACAACAGTGATTGAAACAGAGCTTAAACATAAAATAAAAAACAAACAAAAACCAAACAGAAAAAGAAACAAATCAATTGAATAAGCAAACTGAAAACAAAGCTTTGATCAAATCAAATTAGGTTTTTGATTACCGGCTATCTTGTTCTCCGGCACGGCGGAGATGAAGCCATGAGTTCATAGTCGCCTCAGCCACCGTCTCCCCTATCAACGCCACAGCCTCCGAGGTCACCACCACCTGGGACATCTCTCTTCTGATAAAAATAAAAAATAAAAAATTCCCTAACACCAAGCTCACCGACAATCTCGACGCCTCACTCTTCTATGCCGATTTTCTCCTATTACCCAGACAGAATTGTAGCAAAACGACAATGCTTTGTTTATGGTCCTTTTTGGTCTTTTTACAAAATTTTATATTTTTATATATTTTATAAAATTATCGACTAAGGGTACTTTGGTCATGTTTGGTTTTAAATGTGCAACAGGGACTTAATTGCACCAAATTGAAACTTGAGGGTTGTTTTTTGTACGGGAGGGGTGTGATATGCACTATATGCATACTTAAGGGGTATTTTCTGCACTTGACTCTATTTATATATAACATTATTATTATTATTTTGAATTTTTGAGTTACCTCTAATACAATTCTAATAGGAGTATTCACATATATATATATAAAATTATATATATGTAAAATTATTTATAATTATATATATATATATGTAAAATTATTTATATATATAATTTCAATCGGATCGGATCGGATCAACATAATCCATATCCGATTTGTTAAGCTAACGGATTATTGAATTCGAATTGTAACCGAGTTATTAAATTTTTTATTCAATTCATATCCGACTAATTGGATCGGATTTGGATTAAGATTCGCTCCATTGACATTGACAAGGGTAGTGCCCATGCAGTGCTTGACGAAATGGTTCAAAAAATGTGCTCGCATTCGCTGCGGTGTATTTGTGTCATGACTATTTTACATGGACTCAATCAGGTGTGTTGGGTGTAGGCATCTATTCGTGCATCACATATCAAATCTAGACTTGAACACCTCAAATGGTCTGTTTGATAGGCTTTTTGTTTTTACTGTTTATTTTAACTTTACAACCAAATAAGTGTTCTACTACAGAGTATATAAATAAAATAAATGTACAAACCCATTATGGGCTGGAAAGACATAGAGCCTATTGGCCCAATGACTTGCAAAAGACTTGCAATGTACAAAAAGCCAGGTAGCCCAAAACTTGCAAAAATCAGCTGGCCAAAAGCTGTGCGTGAGTGACTAGGTGCTGTAGAGGACCAAGAGAACACCAATTGTCAAACCAGAAATTGGTGTTGTTGCCATTCCCAATTTCTACTTTGACAAAGGGTTTAATGGCAAATATAAGCTGTAGAAGTTTGCGCCAATTCCATGAGCATGGTTGAGGAGTCTTCAATGTCCAGATACACTTATCCCTAACCAAATGTGACCATGAGCATGCTTGCTTTGTTGATTGATTTTTGTTATGGTGTGATGTGGCAATTATTGAGATGAATACTTTAGTAGATGAGAAAATCTATTTTAGCTATTAGTCTTCGTTGAACACTATCTATTGATGTCGCCCAAAAAATCATGTCTAATTAAAAGTGTCAGACGCATATCTCGTGTGTGTGTGTCGGGACACGTATACTCCTTTTGAAGAGTTATCTAAGAATAGGGTGACAGTTTTTGGAGCAACATGCAACATGCTTGCTTGTTTCTGCTAGTGTTAGGAAATTCCTAACTCAAGCTTAACCACATTTATATTTATAAAACCTAAAGTTCAACCCTCATGAGGTGCAGAGAACTAGCTGTCTAGCTAATACCATTTCACATGCAACAGCAAAAGCTCCAGCTTGGGATCTCTCTTTTTTTTTTTTTTTTTTCCTTTCCCATAATTGTCCCGATTTGAATATCACTAACTTTAGACCAAGTCTTTGCTTCTCAATCCAATGAATATTAACCAAGCAGCAAAAGATAAAGAGGGGAATGAAAAGCATGAGCCACTGTTTTTTCACTTTGAAGACCATATATATGTATTTGTTACCCTTTTTTTCTTTTGTGTGTGTGTGTGTGTGTGTGAGTATGTGTGTGTGAGTGCTACGAGACTAAAGAATCACTGGTAGTTTTACAAGTTTGAATGGACCAAAGACCAAAACAGTCCAAACCCCGACCAAAGAATCTAGTGAAAAAGACTAACACAAGATGCAAACACCTTTTCTTTATCAGATGCAAACACCTTTAATTGGTGGATTCGCTTTAAGTTTGGAACACATGCCACCCCTTAGAAATAAGATAATGTAAGTATAAAATAATACATATAATATTTATTCAGAAAAGCATTCTCTTTTGGGTTGTGTCTATGCTTGTGTGAGAACCATAGCTGTGCACAAGTGGAAGGCATCTCTCTTATAAGTTTCAACAACATCTCGGATGTGTCTGTGTGCATGTGCAGGACCCACTGTTGTGCACAGGTAGAAGGTGTTCCTCTTAAAAATGCCAACAACTTCTCGGGTGTGTTTGTGTACATGTGAACGGGTGCATAGGTAGAATTGCATCCCTCTTATGACTTTATGAGTGCCATCAACTTCTCGAGTGTGCATGTGATGTGTGTCTGTGTTCATGTGCGTAAACTATAGGTAGAAAACATCCCCTTATAAGTGTTAGCAACTTTTCTCAGGCAATGTAAGAGGTCACAATATTATCATACAGAAGTCAAAGTTAGAGATGACATACGAGTTATAAGTGCCAACTTCTCTCCCAGGCAACATGGGACGTCACATTAATTATCATACAGAAGCGAAAGCGAGAGATGATTGATTGACAGATAGAGAAAAAATACATACATACATGTGTAAATATATACGTCCTCACATACATGCATGGGTGCTAAAACATTTCTTGATCTGTGTTCCATGTATCTACTTTTCTTCAAATAATATTTTACTATTTTGGTCTTTACATGCACATATGTTGATCTTTCTATCCATCAAATTACTCACTCTAACAAGTAAATGGTCATGAAAAAATAGTAAAGTAGGATTTCTCTAAAGGCTGTTTAATCTTCATCAGGATTCTTTTGAGTGCTTTTGTTGTGAGACTAGCTAGCTTCCTTTTCTTTACTCCTCAATACCTCCACACAACAATTTGTATAAGTGAAAAAAAACCTCACAAGCTGGGATTTCTCAAATGTTCTCAACAGTTTTATAATCCCAATATTTTTGAAAAAATACATACAAGATGATAGAAATCTTGCGCGGTCTTCTGGACTTCAGTTGAAGCTTCTGAAGTTCTGTTGGCTAATTAAGCTTGACCAGGCGGTCGTCGAGAGTTTCCAGCCCTCCTGCCAAGAGAAGAGGAAAAAATCCATATATGGTATTAATGATAAGATACTCTCTAAATGTTCCAAAAAAATTCTCTATTTTATTTTATTTTTTTTAATTTAGGAATTGTTTAAATTATTTAGACATAGTTTTCTTCTTTTGAGACAGAAATCAAAGATACATATATCTAATGTTGGATAAAAAATTTTGGTTAGCATTTTGGAGGTACATGTTTTGCTCTTGGTTAACTAATGATGCTTAATTGAATATCGCTGTACCAGAGCATATATCCTTGTTGGCTTAGGTGTAGTGATAAAGGAGTAGCTAGGAAAGAGAAAGGAAAGGCAACATGAAAAGGTTAAAAGCCAAGCTAGCTCATAAATGTAGATAACAAAATGAAATGCTAATTAGCTTTAATAAACATGATTAAGAGATGGAATAAAGTGAAGAGACAGTCTCTCTTTTTCTTTTCCATGATGGTTTTTAAATTGGGTGAAAAACAAAGTTGCAACACTCAAGCTTTGATGGTAGGACCACGGGAACTTGAAACAAGGACTTGATGTAACAGTTAAGCCAGCATGCAAACTGGTTGGATGTGATAAACTAGGTGGAAGGGGAATTCGAGTACGGCCACAACCCGCTTGGGGAGCTTGGCGCTCTATCAACTAGATCACTGAATAATGTCCCACTGGAGTTTGTTATTAAAGGACTGATAAGATGATTATGCTTTGAAGGCACAACTTATAAGCTCAGTTTTATATTTTAACCGTTGAGGGCACGTATAAAAATTTAATTTTGATTGTGATTAACTCTATTAATTTCCTTTCACAAATCACTTCAACGTAGCTAATACACATACTTCTTTAAGGCAGAAAAATTGCACACACACACACACACACACGACGGTTTTTTTAATCTTTCTAGCTAGTTTGTAAGTGAGATGAAGATTGTAATTAACTTGTTACAAATTGTGGTTTTACATGGTCCTTGTCATATTGAAAGAAAATTCAGGTGAAAGAAAGCAAGTGAGGAACAAAGAAAAGCTAGCTATTTTATCATTTTCCTTAATTAATTAAGATTGTGTTTCTCCTTTTGCTTTTTCTCCACTGCCTATCACAGATGATTTCTCAGAGAAGTATGCATGCAGTCATAAACTTTTATATACACCATATATATATATATATATATATATATATATATATTTAAGTTATGTATATCTTCTTTGCTTTATGAATATCCAATATCTAACATGCCATGACTCATATGTTAGTATTAAAAGGCTAGACTCATATAGACATGACAAAGATATATACAAAGTCATATTTATGCATACCTGTTGTGAATAGGATCAGGTCCATTAGGAACTCTTCTTTTGCTCATATTGAGATCAGACTCTGGATGTACTGCAAGCTTCTCTCTTCCAATCATCACTTTATGCCCTAAACTTGCCGTTGGCCGACCATTCAGCGCCGTCGTTTTTCTCCCTCCAACCTCTAAAGTCCCAACAAACACAAACCAGATAAATCCCAACAATGCAAGTGCTGCACACAAGGCCTTGAAAGAACTGCTAATACCCATATCTTGTCTTCTGGTTTTCCACCTATATATATATAAATATAAATATAAATATTTAAAAAAAAATAAATAAAAAAGAAAGAAGATGCCTAGTAAATAATCCCTTATTGTATGATATGTTCTCTAAGAGAAGATGTTAAGAAGAGAAGAAAGGAGAGAGAAGAAGCTAGTGAGGGTTGGCTTAAGGCAAGTATTTTTGTGGCCAGTTCTTCTTTTACTTCATGGGTTATGGGTGGCTGGTATTCTTTATAGGATAGGCTGGAGTGATTCTGCTACACTTTCTCGAACCTAGAGAGAGAGAGAGAGAGGAGAAAGGGAGAGAGAGCTGAGCTGGTTTGGAACGTGACATGGAGGGAACCACCTTGCTTTATGCTGACAAACTTGAGGTACCAATACGACAATCCTCTTTTGCTTTCAATTTGTGTATTTTCATGCACTTGCGATACCAACATATATATATAAACTTACTATCATTCCTTACGTATAATACAATGATGACTAGATTCTTATAGGCAACCCACAGTAACATCAAATTTCCATGCCATCTTTCTTCCAAAGGAGAGAGTATGACATGTATGACATTGAGCTGTGATATATGCACTATGCGAGTCGTAGGATCAATTCTCGAACCTATTCTTTACATAAAGAGATTCAAGTCCCTAGAATTATAAGATTATCACAAATTATACATAATACTGTGAATGAATGAGAAATTTATACAGGGTCAGAAAATGAATTTATTTCATTTATACTAAAGTTAGGAAGCTATTGAGTAAAGAGAAACTAATTAACAATTGGGTTCAATATTGATCATGTAGTTCACGGGCTCGAAATAAAGAAACAGGCTCTTTGCATGCAGAAGTAAGACTGCATATATCTGACTCTTTAGAGATTCTGTAATAACTTGGAGTCTCGTGCATTGAATTTTGCCTGTACATCTTACTCTCTTTACACCCGTAATAACCGGGAGCCTCGTGCACCTGAAGAGTGATCACTTGCTTCAAATTGTAAACTGCCATGTAAGCAGCTTGCCTGAGGAGAATTTAAAGATTCTTATACAAGGAATGATAGTATTTTTGCTGTTTCTTACGACCATATATATGAATTTAGGCATCCTAAATCTTTTATACTTAAAATTACGGCTTAGCCATGGCCCACATATATATGCCCTATCACTTGAACCACTCTTAGTTGGCACTCAGGAGTTCTAACTTTAAACCTCTCTGTACTCCTCTTACAATGAAGATTTAAATGATCTTGTGGAAGGGGAATATTTAAATGTACCTGAACTAAATTTGGCCTTCACAGAAGCTGGTTCCTTGGAACAGAGGGTTTGATAACGGAATATATGTTTATATATATATATGCACACTATGTTTATATATATATGCACACCTTACTCCATTTGGCTAGAGAGAGCATATGGCACATTTTGTCCTATCCATACCATATGAATCTCACTTAAGAGTGAAAAAGAATCAAATGCTTCTAGCTGGAATAGCTTCAGGTTGAAGTAATTGGATGGTGATATAGACTATAGTGATAACAGAGGCCATAAACTTTCGCCATGTGGGCTTTTTACATATAAATTATATAATTAAATGGCTTATATAGATGGCTTTTCCACCCTCCACGATTTGGGTATTCACCCATTTAATATTAACCATTAGAAGCTTCAGAATTGACCTGCATATATATTAATGCATGTCACAATCAATTTGTGCCAAATAAAGCCTCAAGCCCCTCCATGACACTTAGCTTTTGACGTGACTTCCGATCCAACAAAGAGAGAGAGAGTTTACTATGTATGGCCATGAGTTGGGATCCTCTGTGATGTGTGCAACACAGCTAAATAATTTAGGTTTTGAATTAGATAGCACATAGTTGGTCCATTAAAAGTGTTATTAAAGTTAACCTAGTCCTATATCTAACGTCAAGCGTTCACTTGGAGGTGTTTAAGTATGAATCATTGTTTGGGTCATCAGTCGTTAAGGTTCAAGTACCCACCCAAAGGTGTTCGAGCCTAAATTGTTATAGGGTACTCCAGCAATTAGGATGGATGGGTACGTAGGCAATGTGGTCTGACAGTAAGGAGAGCGTACAGGTTTAGGTGGGGGAGAATATCATATTGGGAAAATATTAAATCCCTCATACCCACTCAACGGTCGGCTGTTGTTGAGAGTTAAATCTCTCATTTTTCACACACAGCGGAAACATATGTCATTACAACACATCAATATAAACATATATGGAAATAACAATCATATACATCCACGCAGAATACAATATTTTACATGGTTTACCCAACTATAGGATTGTTTCCATGGAGATAGATTTCCACTATTACGAATCAAGGAAGATAATATACAATCAGATGTCAAAACTCCACTCATTCATTCATCATCTCTGTTGAGGTTTTATGTATATACTAGGGAATTACATATACTATCCCCTCTCCTTAATTACAATACTCATCTTTAAATCCCTTATATCTTTTCTCTCATATCTCTCACTACCCAAATCCATCTCTATTTATAGAATCTTTAGATCCAATTCCTTGTTGAACAAATATTCTCTACAAAGAGTTACCATAATAGTCTTTAATTCTAAAATAAAAGTTTTCTGACTTACACGTCCAACTGGTTCAACTTTTTTTGAATTGGTTCAATAGGGGTTACAATTATGTCCAACTGATTCAAAAAAAAGTTGAACTAGTTCCAAATACCTTGAAGTTGTTCACTTATGCCAAAACACTACTTGAATACCGAATTCGAGCTACAAAACCCAACATATAGAATTCTTGTCACACATCGGATACGGATAGGGAAGACTCGGGCTTATAAAAGTGGGTAGGCAACAGGTAAACAGGGTGCATGGTTCGACCTAAATGGGGTGGTTGCAAGTTTGGATAAGAGAGAACCAGGTAGAAAGGATGGTTCGACCTCAACGAGGGCGTTGTGAATTTAGATGGGAGAGAACAAGACGTCTATCCACATTGAATACGGATTGGGAAGATCTTGAACTTATAAGAGCGAGTAGACATCCCGTTACAAAAATCTACTAGCATCTCCTCAAGTGTTCTTTAATGTTTAATATGGATATAGGAGTATAATGAAAAATGGGTTGGTCTTTAGTTATACTCCCTCTACAAACTTCCTAGAGCAAAGCTTTACTAGTTTAAGTTTCATAGGTAACAATGAAAAGCATGGGATCGGTAGAATCTGCAGATCATTCTTTTTTGTAAAATTAGAATCTTGTCGTGTGAAGATTATTAGTACAGTTGTAGCACCTCCATATATGATATGAGTTCTCTACAATATGTCAAATTGCAATCTAGACTTATCCGAAAATCATATTAACCCTTTGAAGCTTTGAAAAGGGCATACATGGAATGGAATATTGTTATCCGTTTTTTTATTGCTTCGACTCTATCTAGAAACCATCTCAAGCAGTACTCCAACTAGGAAGGTCGTGTCCCTTATACTTAGGTATATTTACTCTCTCTTTGTGGATTTGTTTTTGAAAAGCTTCACTTTGGCTGTAGACCAAATGTCTGCGCAAAACATTCATAGTTTCAAGACAACATTGGGGCAAAGGCACATGGGAGGCAAATCTTACAAGAATCATATTAAAGTTATGTTTGAAAGTATCCATTCAGGATCCCATTGAAATTGAATTGAAAAAAATTTAGTTCAACGATTCTAAAATTTGACGATAATGTTATATTTCTCTCAGATAGGTCGTGTCATATATGATTTGATTAATTTTTAAATTTTACATAAGATGTCAAAATTTATCTTAAATTTACTTGCATGTGATTTTTTCTATTGGTACAACAAAGGACCTGATGACAAAAATAAGAAAATGGTGATGTCAATTAAGCATTTGATTTCAGTTACTCTTAGAAATATGCTTTATTAATCTGTTTTTGGTGCATTGTTCACAAGTAAAACATTACTTTTGTGGTCAAACAGTCACTATTTCTGCAAACCTGTTCCTGCATAATTGGAGAAGATTTGTAGATTCATATGTAATGGCCGACAGGTAGGATTACCTCAGGTTGATCAGCTACTATACATGAGCATCAATATTATATATCTATATGTATGTAAAATATATTTAAAATGTAGTAGATTTAGTACTGCTTGATTTGTAATTCTAAAAATAATTCTCAAGAATTTAAAAAATAAAAAATTATTTTTAAAAAATAATTTTTTAAAGTTATCTTACAAGTGAACCAAACATAAATTTTTATTTATTTTTTTATTTTAAAAAATTGAACTAAATAAAATTTTTTAATACAATTTTATGACGATAGAAAGCTGTTTCCATACCTTTTATTTCTTTTCCTATTGTCCTCACAAATAACTCATAAATACACTTTACTTTCGTAGGGTCTTGAACCTCTCAAATTTTACTAGTCTACAACCCTAGCTAACTAGTACTATTATTAATTTATTAAACAACTATGTCCCTTTCTTGAACTAAAATCTTCACCAACAGTCCAATATACCAACCAATAGTGATGATTGTCAGAGTGGCATGAACCCATATTGGGTTCAATGGGGCCAGCCAACCCTATTAAAATTTTAATATATATTACTATTGTTCTATATCACCTTCTCTTATAAATTTCTCTGATCCGCTATTATTGTCACACCACGTGATGAGTTCCATGTGATGGTGCCAATCATAATGTTTATCATGACCATTGGTGTATCAAACCTGTCCAGCAGGGCTACAAATTAATTGAGCCAAGTTAAATCTTAGATTGTTCGGGTTCATTTGTTTATAGTTCGGTTCGAGCTTGTGTTGAGTTCAAAAAACCTGAACTCGGGCTCGGGCTCGGGCTCGGGCTCGGGCTCTGGCTCGGGCTCGAATCATTTAAGAAAATAAATTAAATTCATTGTCAAGTTTTGTTCAGACTTGTTTTTAAGTTCGCCAACTTATTTTTTAAATTATTGTACATATTTTATACTTTTGAAAATTAAAAAATTTCATTAAAAAATACAAATAAATGTAAATAAACCCAATAACGAGCCTCCAGCAAACAAATATAAACAAACAAAATCCGAACTGTTTATATATAATTCTATTCATTTGCAGTTTTACTCTTGTTAGTCCTTTCTTTAGCTTCAAAAAACCGGTGGACTAGCGCAGGCTCGCAAATCACACGCAAAAATATAAAATCTTATCTTCTTTATGGATTCGTACATGACAACTTTATTCATTGTCCCTTCAAATTCGATATGATTTTGTAATCAGGGCACGAATATTATATATTAACCGATGAACATGTAGACATGCAAAAGTATACCTTGGCCTAGAATGACGATTCTATTCTATACGTGTGTGTGTGTATATATATGCCCCGAAAACCAATAGATTTTTTGGTGAAAAAGC